TCTAGAAATATTACTGCTTTTTTTCCAATGTACTTCTGAAAAGATCAATATTAAGTTATTACTGAGTCAACATTGGATTCCCAGGGCTTTGGTTAAATCAAAATCAATTACCCACATTCACTCTTTCTCCATCTTCCCCTCTCTCCCTTTCTTTCTCTCCCCCATCTCTGTCTCTTTCTGTCTCTCTCTCTTCTTGTTTCAGTTAGCCATTAAAAATAAATATCCAAAGATTACTTACTATAATTATTCAACTGAATTTTATAATTCTATTTCTTGAAGCAAAATATTATTTTTATATTTATCTTAAAATTATTTTTCTGTACAACTATACAATAAAATATTATGAGACTTTTAAAAGGAAGAAGTAGATCTTTGTTTTATAACATGTATATATGTCTACAATATATTATGAAGGAAAAAAGTTCAGGTTAGTGTGCATGTAGTAAAAATCCATTTTGTTCATATGTATGTTTATGTAGAAGTCTAGAAAAATATACAACATATAAGTCTTGGTAGTCTTTTGGTGGTTAGAATTTCAGCTGATTTTTTCTTTTCTTTGTTATCTTTTTAAAATGTTTTCATGCAATGAGTAGATATCGATGTTGTAACTGGAAAAATGTATTAAACTAATTATGGATGGAATTGAGCGTGGTAGAAACGGTGGTGATAAAACAGATGGCTGTACTGAAAGTCCCATGAAATTCTTTCTTTTTCATTACATAGTAATTCATAAAACTCATAAAATTTGATTGAAAACCAAAAGAAGGAACTCTACTCTCATGAAGGTAGGGCTGCTAGCTGTACCATAATAAGTTATTATATCTTTCATTCCCATTTAAAATCCATTGATGGTTTGACAATTGCTCCCTGATTAGAGTGGCTCTTCCAGCAGGAATCCAACTCTGTTACAGATTTTTCTTTCTCCTAATTCTGACACATGAAACTTCAGAGGAGATTTCGATTCCATGCCCAACTGGACACCAGGCCTTACCTCTTCTTTCTTGCTAATGTCCTTGCTCCCATCATGCTTTGTGATAACCACTGCCAACCAGCAGGCTCCCATCCTAAAGTGCCCAAAGAAACATGAAGCTCTTAACAGGTCTTCTGCTTCCCTTTTCTCCCATTCAACTTACATGTGTTCACCCAATTCATCCTTTTAAAATGTTACTTTAAATATGTTACCCATGTGCTGAAAAATCTATAGCAACTCTCTCTGACATGAAGAAAAAAACCATACTTCTTAGCATAGAATTCAAAGTTCTGAATAATCTAAGCTCACCTCTTGGACAACTTTGTCTTCCTCGAGACCCTCAATATAACCTCTACTCCACCAGAACAGCCTACCCACTAAATCAGCCTTGAACTTCAAAACTCTCAAGTATTGGCTCTTTTTGTTTCCTCTGCCTGGAATGACTTACCTAGTGGTTTCCGCCAGGCTGACTTCTGTTATATAAGGCCACATTCAGATTCCACATTTCAGATGTTTCTGGCCCACTCAATCCCTAAGACATCTCTCCCATGCAGTCGGGCTATGTTTTATGCTACTTGACTTTTTCAGTGCACATGGATGTTTTCCCCCACTGAAATGATAAGTGCCTTATCATTTATATCATGATAAGATTAAGTGCCATGTTTTATCTTTTGTATTTTAAATTTACCTAGAACTATATATCATCAGTAATCCCTTCGAGTTGACACTTAATAAATATTTTTTAATTAACCGAAACCTTAAGCATCACATTTTCTAAGCATTTTGGAAAACATGTGCAAAAGTATAACACTTCACATTTTTATTTTTTTATGTAAGTAGTCAAAAAATAAAATCCAAGACAAATGAATAATATTTGAGTTAACCACTACGAAAACCGCAAAAGTAATTTACCTTTTTGCTCACATTCCTATTTCTGAAAATGTCTTTTTCTCATTGAGTGTAAGTGTTTGTAGAGCATTTAAAAAGTTTGTCCAAAAAATACAATCATGGCTTGCCTCTAGCAGAAATAATGTGTGTTCCTGCTTCTCTTTGTAAATAATCGAATTTGCCTCTGGAGTTCAAGAAGTTCAAGATTTCTTTCTGTGTGTGAAACACTGCTTCTGTTTTCTCTATATATGCAGCAGACTATAATCTAAGGCAGGAGAATCGCTGTGCAATTGGGATTTGGTGAGTAGGGAGGATAATACAAGAGATTGACATGACTTTCATAGAAGAGTTATTTTTAAGTATACAGAATACCAATCCCTGTGCTGAAAGGGCCTTTAGAAAATATTACCAGGATTGAAAAGGGGTGGGGGCAATTCCCAGCACCTGATAGAGCCATGCCGGTCTGTGGGTTGTTGCTGCCACCTGCTGCATGCAAACAGCCACAGAGAGGCTGTTGTCTGGGTCTTGCAGCTGCAGAACACCAGATGCATAGTCTTTCAATTAACGGTCTGTAAGCATCTGAAATTTTTCTTCTCTCAGAGGCTGGGTGAGTCCCAAAGGGAAATTCTTCAAATCTGATAGCTTCAGACCACAGAAGTTTCTAGATATAAGAACCATGGGCCGGGCACGGTGGCTCACGCCTGTAATCCTAGCATTCTGGGAGGCCGAGGCGGGCGGATTGTTTGAGCTCAGGAGTTCGAAACCAGCCTGAGCAAGAGCGAGACCCTGTCTCTACTAAAAAAATGGAAAGAAATTACTTGGACAACTAAAAATATATAGAAAAAACTAGCCGGGCATGGTGGTGCATGCCTGTAGTCTCAGCTACTCGGGAGGCTGAGGCAGTAGGATCGCTTGAGCCCAGGAGTTTGAGGTTGCTGTGAGCTAGGCTGACGCCAAGGCACTCACTCCAGCCCGGGCAAAAGAGTGAGACTCTGTCTCAAAAAAAAAAAAAAAAGAACTATGGACCAGGCCCTGAATAATACCCAGACAGGGCAGATTTGCTGAGTAGCCACTGAACAGGTGGCTCAGGTAGTCCAAAGCAAGGGTTCTATTAAAGTGAGTCTATAGCTCTGGAAATTAAATGACAATTTTCCTTTTTCTGAGTTCAAGATTTTTTTTTTTTAAGAATTGCTTGACGTTAATGCAATAAGAGACCTCTAAATATTCAAAAGGGGTGTTGTTCTTAGAGGATTTAATAAATTTAGATTTTTATTGGTTTCTACTTAGGTAAATTCCTCTTAATATGAAAGATGGAATGAAATAAGGGAATCCCTTCTCCAGGCTTGTAATGTGTCCCAATTTAATAGGGATACCAACTTGCAGATCAGGACCTTCACAGTACCTCTCCAGGCCTGTTTTTGCTGTTATGCTCCATCACTTTGACTCGCTAGAATTTCCAGGGACAAACGGAAGAGGTGAAGGTATCCAGAGAAGTTATATCTTTTCCTGCCCTCTATCAAGGACTTTGAGCCCCCCAGCCCTCTCTGAAAATCACTGTCAGCACCACCTGACCCAAAATCTCCAGTGATCTGAAACTTGTGGGGAGATGGGTGGGAGTGAGCGTAAAGGTTTGAGGAGCCCTGAATGAGAAAATGAGGAACTCCATCTTCTGGCCTTTGCAGGAAACATCATTAGCTGAGGAGTAGTGAATAAGTATGACAACTATCATGGCAAGTATGTGCAGTGGTGGTGCAGCAGGCAGCCTGGACATCTCAGAAGAGAGTAGCCTTTGTTTCATCACATGCAAATTTCTCTTCTCCTATCTAAATTCTAATCTCCTGAATGACAAGGGTGATTCCCTATGTTTTAGCACCCTCCATATTCCCCACAAGTCTTTGCATAGGAGAGATCAGTGTATACCTTAGAACAATCTGGCCAAAATTATCTCCACCTGACCTCAATAGAACTACCACTCAGGAACACAATTCAGACTTTTCATTTGTCTTCAGTCTTGCTCAGTGGTGCTTATATTCTAATAATGAGATTAGGGTCACAAAATATTTTACCAATCATTCATATGGTTGTGTGGAAACACATGTATGTATTCACTGTTATTCTTTGCCCTTCAAACTTATACTGTAGTATTCTGCCTAATGCTTATTTTCTTAGGGTGAAGAGAGACTATTTTATCCTGAGCTGGAAAACCAATACAATTTTCTCAGGAAATCATAACAGGGAAGAGTCATCACATCCTTCCATGAATAATTAGATATTTTTACCAAGGCATTATGTTCCTGAAACCCACTTGCAGTTCTCTGTAAATGGAAGTACCGGGGCAGATTTAACAGCCTGGTAGGTCATTGAGATGGGAAATTCTCTGCCTTTGGAATCTGATTGCTACTCCCTTGCTCTATATAGTTTTTGGTAGGAACCGATCAATTTCTGCTGTCAGCAGAAGAGGCCTCCAGACAGCCTGGTGGGAAACTTCTCTGTCTGACCACTAGCCTATCCCAGACACGGGGTAACTCTCACTACTTTTACACCCAGGAAACAGTATTTCCCTGCAAGAAGAGAGACAATAAAATTCAGTTTGGTAGCTGACTCTACTCCCTGTTACTTTTCAGATTTTATTAAAATTAAGTGTGTTAATTCTTTGTTCTTTCACCCTGGAGCAATTTTGGAAAGAAAACATATCTTAAGATTGAACAGAAAACTGTTATGAAAGACACCAAGCTCACATTCGTCAAATGACTTTGTGCTCTTGAAAAGAAATGTATAAAAAGCACATTGTGAGTTGCTCTGCATGATTTCCTGTGTTCAGATTTTAGAAGTGGCTTGACTGAAACAGAAATCCTGAACGAGAGAATCTTTAGATACTGAAAAGTCTTTTAAAGAAGGTGATACACAAGGTTTCAAAGAACAATTTCAACATTGTTCTGTTGAAGGTTATACTTAGCCCCGAACCACATTACTTTCCTGTCTACATTTCATTTCCTGGGGGCTTGCCAAGCGATAAACAGACCCAGGCGTGTGGTAGATTTGGGGTTTTTCAGCACGAAGAGGGTAGCTGGAGTTTGCTTTAAGAAGTTAATTGACTTCTGTGATCATTATGGAAATGATGGTGTAAGGTCTTCAGGAGACAATGGAGAAAAAATGGACATACTGTGCTGTTTATTCCATCATCCAGATACATTTTGTCAGGGGTAAGACTTCCAGTTGTCCTTTCTTGTCAGATGGGCCGCTGTAGGGGCACAGGGAGCCTCTGTTCATTTAAAATGCCTCGCGACTGCTGCTGAGATAGATCACCAAAGGGCGAATCGTTACTAAGGTTTTCGGTTATGTATTTAAGTGGCAGCTATCGGAGAGATGTTGGAGTCTAGAAATGATTGCTAACGAACACGAAAAACAAGAAGAGAATAGGCGGTTTGTGCCACTGCTCTGAGGCATCGTCACCCGTTTCCTTCCTAACAAGATCTCTGGAGTAATTGGAAAATTGTGTTTCTTGGAAATGAAATGCTCTCCAAATGGTAGTCAGAATATCTCCGAAAAACTAAAAAGAATCACCAAGCCATCAGTGCTCAGAGATCCTTGCTCAATTTTTTTTTTCTCTCTCCAGTATCCTTTTTCTTTTGGTTATAACAAGCATTTCTCCTCCAAATACTAAGGTCTTTGGGAGTTAAACACATGTTGAATTTTAATAAGGCATGTGTAGGTACAGAACTGGAAAGCAAAGTGGAATCCTTGTGACAGTGGGAACAAGATCCTGAAGGGTCTATTTAAAAATAGAAAGAAAGATTAGTCCTGCATTCCACAATATGAGAGTATTACAGTGAGCCTGCGTATCTTAAGAATTAACTACGCTTTTCAGGTATAGTTACAAAAATTTTAAGGAGAATTTCTAAATCAAAGGAGACTTTGAATATAATGCTGTAGATAAGATCAGAGCCATATTATCAGGCAAAGAATAGCTCATTGGAAGTTACATTAAACTGTACTAACCTCTGCCTACCCAAACTTTTGCATACACAAAAATGTAATAATTCCCATTTGTCAAGTACTTTGGAGAGCCTCGTTTCTTCTCAGTTGCTTGTCATCTTTTTGTCTTTTCCCTGTGTGAGCTTCAGTGGTACTTGTCACAATAATATATCATTTCTGTAACAGTATTCCATGTTAATTCTAAAGCTCAGGTCAACACCATTCAAGGCATGTCAAAGGCTCCATGCTTAACATATTTTAAATGCCCTGTACCACCTGGTCAGATTGCTGATGGGAGAGACAATCTTCTTTTTTTATATCTAGTATTTCAGAGCGTTGATTAGAGATGATACTGAGTGGAACCTCTACCTGAGGTTTTTTCTTCCCTCTTCTCCTCAGGAGACCTAACTACTTGGAAATGAAATTCCTTTCAATCCTCATATATTGAATGTCAAATTTCTTAACTCTACTCAATCAGACTGAATTTGGAAGGCAGTTTGGAGGTTATGAAAGTTGTAGAAAGACATGGGCTCCGGGCAACTGAATTCATGTTCTTTTACTGGAGACGTGACTTAGAGCAAACCACTTCATCTTTCTGTGCCTCAGTTTTCCCCTTTACAAATAGGGTTAACAACATCACTCTTACGGTACGTGAGGGGGATTAAACAAGATAGCATGTATAAAAGCCTCCTGTAAACATGTATTTTTAAAAGAAACTGCTATGCACATATTAGTTATTTTTGCAGTTTTAGAAAGGTTCGCTTGTGTATTGTAAGTAGCTGTTGATTTATAACCCAAAAATGCCAATTATATTAAATGTAAGAATAATTGTCATACTAAGTTTGCTGGGGTGTGTCAATTTTTAAATAGGCTTAATTTTATTCACAGGTAGTCATACACCTTAAATAATTTTTTGGAAAGACCAAACAAAGAAATAAATATTCAGAAGTCAATAATTTCCTCCAGTTTCCCTAAGTAAATGCCTCTTCATTTATGTTGAGTCTCACGCTTGTCCATCCGAATTGTATATAAGCTCTCTTCTATGCCTAAAGAGATCAGGGAGAAATTTCCTCAGTTGCTCCCTCACTGAAATGACCAAAGCTTCTAACTTAGAGTCAACCCATGTGAATTATGCAAACTGATGGCTCATGTTTTTCTTTTTCAGGAGTATGGAAATTCAATGCAGAAGAAGACATTTATGCCCTACCTGGCTCTGATGTCAATCTGACCTGCCAAACACAGAAGATAGGCTTCTTGGTGCAGGTGCAATGGTCCAAGGTCACCGACAAGGTAGACCTGATTGCCCTTTATCATCCCCAGCACGGCTTCTACTGTGCCCATGCGCGTCCTTGTGAGTCACTGGTGGCTTTCACAGAAACTCCCAGGAATGTGTCAAAATGGACTCTGAGCTTGAGAAACATTTCTTCCTCATTGAGTGGAAAGTACGAGTGTAGCTTTACTCTGTATCCGGAGGGCATTCAGACTAAAATCTACAACCTCCTCATTCAGACACACGGTAAGCATACCTGATAGAGGGAAGGAAGTGCATGCTTTCACTCAGCTCTCCATTCAGTCAAAAAATGTGCATTATGAAGCAACTATGTGCTAGGCATGGTGCTGCGAAGCGTACAAAAGTTCACCAGAAAAAGGTGTTGTCTGGTAAGGGAGACAGAAATTGATCAAATAATTCCACAAATAAATGTAAAATCATGACAGTAATAATGACTACAATAGCCTGTGAAAGAGTATATAATAGAGACCAGGGAAATTGTCCCTGAGAAAGTAACACCTAAGCTGAAGTCTAAAGAATGAATAGACATTAACACAATTTAGGAGGTGGGGCTGGGGTGAGGTGGGGTTATGGATGATCCAAAGAGAGCAAACAGCTTGCATGAAGGGCTCTGTAGTGTTTGAGGAAATTGGAAAATGCCAGTGGGACTACAGTGCAGAGATTAGGGATGAGGCAGGTTAGGACTAGATCATGCTGGACCTTTTCAGCCATGGTCAAGGTTTCCATTTTTATCTCAAAGCCATGGGAAGACATTGAAGACTGTCTAACAAAAGAATAGCATGCATTTATAGCCTGATCATATTTGTGTTGTAAAACAATCATACTAGCTTTTGTATGAAAACAGGTTGAAGGTCGACAAGAGGGAGAAGGTAGAGACAAGTTAGGAGAGCATCCCAGTAGTTCCAAGGAGAGAGAGTGATAGTTTGGGTAGATAAAGAAGGAAAAGGACAGAGTTTATGTATTGGGCATAAAACAAATATGGTTTGATCATAGAGTACATATAGGATAAGGGCAGTATAAGTGAAGGAGACAGAAAAATTGAAGGTAACATCTGGGTGTCTGGCATGCACATCTGAGTGCTGGTGCCATTCACTGAGATGGAAGGCAAAAAAATATTTGTGGGTGAATTCATGAAAGTGGCTTTGGATATACCATATTTAGTTTAGAGCAGGTAAGGGGAATAAGGAGGCTGCTAGACAAGTAGCATTCATACCATACATACTTCAGAGGCCTGCATTTGGAGGCAGGAAGTCTAAGTTTAAGTTCTAGCTCCTTTCTGGTTAGAAATCAGTTTGACTTGGGGCCTGTCATGTAAATTCTCTGAGCCCATTTGGAAAATGATGATAATAACATGTGCCCTAAATTACCTGGTCCTAATGCAAATGATTTCCATTTCTGCTAATGGAAAAAACTGAAAATGAAAGACAACAAATGCAAAATGTACTGGAAATAGACTGTTTTTGACACAGGGATAAAGAGACCTGGTAATATAAGAAAAAACAGCAAAAATTAACTCTTGAAGGCCTTGCTAAAGGAGGCATAGAGCTACCCCAGAACAAGCAACAGGTGTGTATTTATTACCTCCTCTCCATTTCCTATATCTTACCTGCTCTAAGACTATGATATTGGAACCACCCACCTGTGGGCCAAGATCCCATCAACTACTACCTTACATTCTCTTGCTATTTTCCAGGAGGAAAAAAAAAACTTCAGTTCAATTGGGGATGGAGTGGAGTGGGTTTGAAGTAAAAAGATATATTTAATAGAAGACTCATATAGAACAATATGTAGCTCACATACTTTGGAATCAGGTACCCTGGCTTTGAACATTGGCTCTGTCACTTACTATATATTTCATTATTGCCAAGTTATTTCAGTCTCTAAGCTTTCGTTTTCTTGCATAACAAATATGGATAATTATAGTACTTCCTTTGTGAGTATCACTGTTCAGATGATTAAATGAGATAATCTGCATAAAGTATTAGCATAGTTCCTGCCAAAGGGTAAGAGTTTGGCAAATGTTAACTTTCAATTAAGAGTAGTAATAATTTTACTGAGTGAATTCTACTTCTCAATTCCTATTAAAAATAAGCGCTGTATATTGGCCTAATTTGGAACCCAGTGGGATATTTGCCATACATAAGCACAAGTACACATTGACTTTGGCTTCAGACATAGATTTTTGAATCTTCTGCCTAAACCAGTAAACCTATACTATTGCCTACCTGAGGACCTAATGTTTCAACGTCTCCATTGAGAACTGGCAACATGGATTGGTATACATACCCTGGAGGAAACATGTGATGACTCAAAATGAAGACAACAACAGAGAAGAGACAGTATGTCATCCAGAAAGGAGAACAGTGTTGCCTTTAAGGAAAGTGTATTTCTTAAAGGAAAGAAAAGCAAAGGAGCTAAGCTTGTAACTGCTAAAACCGGTGAAGACCAGAGAGGAAGAAGCTATGTCTATAACTTTTGTGGTTGGAGAATTCCCAATCTTCTGATTGTAACTTTGTTGCTGTCAGCTGAAGCAGAAGAAAAGCAAAGGCCTCAGTGCTGGAGAAATGGTTCTGGTATTGTGTATTTGGGTACAAAGGGAGTAAAATGGAAAAGAGCAAAACAGAAGGGGAAGAAACCCTTCACCACAGAATGACCAAAAATGCAAGGGTGGTATGGAGCTAAAGAGAAGGCGCTTGACTCAAAGGAGGCCATTGTCATCCGAGGGCTCTGCCACGTGCATCCCCATTTGCACATCTTTTTCCACTTCATCTTTTAATCTCTTGCTTCTCTTCTCATTTGAGCCATTTCCTTTTTACGCTCCTGTGGGATCTTTAAGTTTACAAGCCAATCGGATAAGCAAAGCACATCTGAAGTGCAAACATTTATAAAGTACATAAACAAATGCAAATTGAAGTGGTGTATAAGAATCTAAATTTGAAAATGCGGAGGGACTAGAGCTGGTTGGGTTAATCACCTCTTCCTGTTTCCTTTCTCTTGTCATCTGAGCCGTTCTCCCTTGTTGGCTCACAATGCAGTGTGTGTCTAAATCCTGTCCCCATGTACTCTGAGGGCCTGGCTGAGAAGGGATTCTGTTCTCTTTTCACAATATTTTGTCCCTGTGTGTGTCTCAGTGCTCTGAGTCTGTGGACGAGACTGGAAATATAATGAACGGTTTGGTGTTTGCTTCTTTTTCATTGTCAATTGACAGGGTTTCCTCCCAGGTTAGAAGCTTTTGAGTTATTCCAAGAAATGCAGTTCTCCAAGTTAAGCCTTGCATTATTATTATCTAGGTTTCAATTTGAGTGCTAATGGATCCCATAATGCTTCAGTTTATAAGATTTTGATGCATTTAAAACTTTGTACTTATTAGGATCAGTCACAAGTGTACAACATGGTTTTAATTTACCAGATTACAACAAAAGTCTTAGGGAGCTGTTAATGTTATTATTGGAAAGCAGTAGGAGTAGTGGCAGTGGTTGGAAGAGAAGCACTGGTCATAGAAATAGTAATAATAGTAGCAAAATAATGTTGATAATATCATGTTAATAAGCTCGGTCTAAATCATGTGACTATCTGATCTAGTTTGTTATTGAAACTGAAAGCCAGTTCTCAAATTCTTGCATTTAGTCTTTATCCAACAAATATTTTCTTGACTTTATATAGTGCTGAGCACCAGAGACACAGTGGTGTGTCTCTGGCATGACTCTGCCTTCATGAATCATGAAGTACAATAGGAGGAGGCAAACTTTAATCAAATAAACAAACAAAGGTAAAATTTCAACAGGCAGAAGTGTGCTTGTGGTGAGGAAGTAGACAGCATATGAGAGGGTATAATGGGAAAATCAAGAAATGTTTCCTGAGCACTTTGGTACTTTGAGACAAGAGTCTGCCAACCTCCTCATTTGCCAGCAAATTAATAAACTCCTCTTTCCTTCTCCCCAGAAAGAAGGAAGGAAAGAAGGAAGGAAGGAAGGAAAGAAAGAAAGAAAGAAAGAAAGAAAGAAAGAAAGAAAGAAAGGGAGAAAGAAAGAAAGAAAAGGAGAAAGAAAGAAAGGAAGAAAGAAAGGAAGGGAGAAAGAATAAGTTTCCTGGGGAACTGCTGCTTCAGCTGGAGTTAACTAGGTGAAGGTGGAGAACACAGAGCTTTACAAAAGACAGGACATGCCAAGGCTCTGAAGTGAAAGGAAGTTATGACACCTGCAGGGGATTTTAAAAGGTATTAAGGCAGAAGCAGAGGCATTGATGGGGAGGCAGTTGAAAATGAGGCTAGAGAGACTGATCAGTCCAGTTAAGTAGTTTTGCCTTTATCCTAAGGGCTGTGGAAAGTAACTGAAAGGAGGATTTTTTGTTTGACTTTTTTTGTTTGTTTTGCATTTCAAAAATTCATCTTTGTGGCCCAAATGTAGAGAATGAACTGAAGAAGGGCAAAGAGGATAGTATAGATTATTAATAGTTATAAAACAACAGCAGAAATCTAGGAAAGATGCTGGTACCATTAAGCAGAGCGGCAATGAGGTAGATGAAGAGGAGTGTTCAGTTTAGAAGATTCACCCGCACAAGATTTAGGGGTGGATTGCATATGTGAAGGGAGGAATAAAAAGCGATGTCAAGGATGATGCTTTTGTTTCTGGTATATAGAGCAAAAAAAAGGAATGAATTACTCATTGTATTAGGGAACACTGGAAGACAATCAGATTGTGCAGGGATTATTTTGAGTTTGATTTTCTACATGTTGAAATAGGAGTGAAGTTGAGACACTCAGGAGATGTTAGGTAAATAGCTGGATATACAATTTCTAATCTGGGAAAGAGGTTTAAACTGAAGATACAAATTGGTGAGTCATCTGAGTGTGGGTGCTAACTAATGTTCTGGAAGTAAAACAAATCCTCTAGGAAGAGAAAATAAAGTGAAAAAAGTCATGTGACACTTCAACCGAGTCCATGGTGATGGGTGGAGAAAGATAGTCTTTGAGGAGTAGCACAGAGTAACTGAAGAGGCAAGAGTAAAATCAGGGATGAACTGGGTCACAGAAACCTAGAAGATGATATTGCATACAAATAATTGCCACCAATTCTGAGGTTTTGGAGAAGATAAAGTAGGTATTGGATTGTATTTTGGGACATGGAAGTTTTGATCACCTAACATGAACTGTTTTGGTGGCATTATGGAAGGGAAGTCAGACTGGAGGAAGAAGAAGAGTAAGTATGAAGATAGACAAATGGCCA